ACTCCTCCGTGCCTGCAAAATCTCGAATTTTTGAAACCAATTTTAAATGGAAGAATGCAAACCCTCGGTTTGCAGTTACTTTTGGGCAAGTCTGAGAAAAGAGCTGCAAGTTGACGATTGGTTAATTGCATCTCAAATGTCTGTCATGTTAAACCAATGGTCAGAATCCTTTGCAAAAAAGTTCCATACGTCACATGCCAAATGTCTACAAGCTTGATGACTTTGGAGGACTGAAAAGAGAATTTGGATTGCCCACATCCATTATGGAGCCATGGGTGCGGAATTTTGCTTTATTTTTGGTCATTCATGCCCCATAGTGGCTAATAAATCTAGTTTGAGGGCGTCTTTACATGGCGAGGCGGTAATTGCCAGTCATTTGCGTCATTTGGTAACCGCTTTGAAGCACTGATGTCACTGGCCTTGTAATCCTATTTCAGAGCTAAATTGTAGCAGAAGTGCACACTCGAGGTGAGTAGGTGCCTCTCCGCGCCAATGACGTTGGTCATTCACTCATCTCATTGCAGTAAGTGTTTTAAGGTAGAAGAAGTAAAATGTGGGGTAACCTCTACGTCCTCAAATTTGCATTTCTGACAATCAATTTCCTCAAATCAATGAACAGTAAACTTTTAACAACTTCTCAAATGTCACTAGTTGGTGGTACCAGGCTCCGAGCAGCAGCAGCAGCAGCCTCCAACTACCACAAAAGACGAAACGTGAGGATCAAGGGAGTTGTCCGATCTCCCTTAGGCCTCAGCTCTCACGATGAGTTATTTTGTGAGACATGAAATGCAACACTGGATAATGGTGTTTCAAAGGCATTCAGCTATGCTTTGATTTATTAAGAGGAAGAAATGAGATGACGAAGCCGTAAATACCAGTCGCTGCGATCGAAACCATAAATTCTGCTGATCATCTAAAGGTAACCGAAAATGCCTCCATGGTGCATGGAAAAGCGGTAAACATACTTTAAAGCAACTTTGTGTACTGTTATTTAATAATTTTTTTGAGAAGTTGTTGATAAAACACATTTAACACTTCAATTAATTCTCCAACATTTGTTTCCGGTACTACAGTAATTTCGGGTGACTTCTTCAAAATGGCTCCAAGACGGCAAGGGTAAAGTATAACCAACCTGAGGTTATTTAGTCGAAAAATGATCTGCGATTTGTGAGAAACTTGATGGGGAGACAAAATGAGCGTTCTCATTAAAGCGGATGTCGAGGCTTGTGCAATTGTCAATGTGACCTGCATACAATCTCAGTATTGGTGGGGTCAAGGTCATTCATACTGACACAAACACGGGAGGATGAAATTACTCTCAGTTTGCATTATCCAGCGCCTCCATCCAGTGGGTCCTCTCCACATCCATTGTCTTTAGACAGGCTGTCCCAGATACAAACAGCAAATGATGTCGCATTTCACATTTTAAAGGATGCGCTCTATTAAGTCCCATCAAAGCGATATCCTGGCAGGTGGATTTGATAGGCACCTCAACATCTGGACCTCTACTCGCCTTCCGTTTGACAGTAACAATTGTTAGTTGCCGTACTTCCACCTCCGCCGCTTGCATCGATCCGTCTCCGACTGTAATGCGGTTTGGTACAATCTTGAAATGAGCTCCTCG